CATGGGCTGCCAGAAGAAGAAAAAGATTTATGTTGCAAAAAGTGTAGCCAGAATGTCCCTTGGAGGCCAGGATGGCCAAATTTTGTCTCTCATACTTGGGGCATATTGTCAGGAGGGACCAGTCACTGGAGAAGGATATCATGTTTGTTAAGGTGGAGGGTAAAAGAAACAGAGGAAGACCCCCAGCGAGATGGATTGGCAAAGTGGCAGCATCAATGGACTCAAGAGTGGCAACAATTGTGAGGTTGGCCCAGGATTGGGCAGTGTTTCATTGTGCTTAGGGTCGCTATGAGTCAGTACTGACTGGATGGCACCTAACACCACCACCACCACCAACATCAATTATCTGTCATTTTGATAGTACCCATTCTAGTGGGTGCAAAGTAGATACACTTAACAACAATGGTTAATGTTGTTGAATATCCGTTCATGTGCTTGTTGGCCATGCAAGAAGCCCCGGCTACATAGGATAACCTCCAGGCTCTGTGGGAGAAAGGTCCGACATCAGTTCTACTCTGTGCAATGAGGTCATTGTGAGTCAGAATCTATTCCATCAATCTATACCTAACCACAGCATTGGACATTTGTATATCTTTTTTGGAGGTATTCTATTCAAATTATTTGCCCATTTTAAAATTGGGTCATTTATCTTTTTATTACTGAGTTGTAAGAGGTTCTTTATGACTAGAGGAACCCAAAACTATGTCCCTCAACCACCCTTCAGATCTGGAAAGGAACTCACCCTCGAGGCCCAATTTTCAGCCAAGCAGTAGAGAGGTATACAAGGGGGCCAACAGTACTAGTAAGCTACTAGTAAGCTTACATGGAATGACCAACCATTCAAGAACGAAAACACTGACCTAAGGACAAAGTTGAGAAGGAATGGGGAGGTAGATGGAATGGAATAGGAACCACAAGAAGGAAGTAGGGTAACTGTTGTCACATGGAGGAGGTTACAATCCTTGTGATGAAACAAAGTGTACAATTTGTTGAATGTAAAAACTGATGACCAGAGAACAAACAAGATGGTGGATC